CCCCCTCCCTCCTCCCTCCTCCTCCTCTCTCTCTCTCTCTCTCTCGTACTTAACGTTGGCCCATCGTCTATGGCACAGGGACGCGCCGAACGCCTGGCCGCCGCACCAGTACATCGCGCTCGAAGCGCTCAACGCGCTCCCGGCGAACCTCACCTCGGGCGCGATCCCGACGCCGTCCCAGGGCGCGTCGACGTACGCGCTCGTGCCCGCCGGCCAGATCGACGTGCCCGAGGCGAGCCTGCCGCCGCAGACGATCGCGGGCCAGGCGAGGAACGCGAGCACGACGGGCGCGCAGGCGGACGTGAACCTGAGGAACGGGACCGTGCTCAACGGCGGGAACGCGACCGCGGGCGAGGGCTGGCGCGACCGGCTCGGGAGGGAGCTCGCGAACAGGTATTTCGCGAGCGTGCTGTGTAGCTGGTGAGCGTTTTTTTTTGTCTTTTTTTTTCGCAAGTCCGAGGTGCTTCGACGTGATGGAAGCTGACGAAGAATGGGACGGGTGGTAGGCATGCGACGGGAGGCCAGATCCCGAACTTGTTGCCGAGGCTGTCTGACAAAGAGCTGAACGTCACCCAGAGCCAGAATAACACGGGCAACGTGAGTTTTTCCTCTTCTAACCACCCCCCCCCCCCCACATTCGGACGGAAACGAAACGCTGACGGACGGACTTCTGCGCGGTCTCTCTTCCAGATGTTCGAGAAGTTCTCGAATACCGATATAGACTCTGCGGGTCGTGGGGGTGAATACACGGTGCAGGCCGGCTTCGGGTACGTTTTGCTCCCCGGAAAACCGGGTTTTTTCTCTCTGCTATAACGATGACTGCTGATTGCTGCGTTTTTTGTCTTTTTTTGCGTATAGATGGACGAACGGCGTGCTGCTCTGGGTCGCGGCGAACTACGGCGATGTGCTCGTGCAGCCGACCTGCCCGGATCTTATCTTGAGCGCGGAGGCGGGCACGTCGACCGCGACTTCGCCCAGCGGGAGCTCGACGGGGAAGAAGAGCGCTGCTGAGGCTGCTACCCCGTTGGGAGGCGCCAAGTGGGCCGCGATGGTGCTCGCGGGGTTGATTGCTGGTGTCGCGGCGGTCGTGGCTTAAGCTTCTGCGACGTGTCTTTCTTCTTGGGATGAAAGGAAAAAACAACGGTACCCTTTGCGTCATGGTCTGAACCTTTCGATGTAAACCGGGAGCAAAACCGGAGATGAAAATAGGGACACGATGAGCGGTTGTGCTTAGTCTGATGGCTTGTTGTAGCCCTGTATGTAGCCTGAACGGGAAAGATGGCCGATCTCATTCACAAGGTCCGTCGGGCCGGCGTGAGCGTCGAAATGGTTGGCATGCTGATGGTGAGAGTCGCGTGCCTTCGCACTTCTCTTCCCATCCTCGTTGACCTTGGCTTCTGTTCTGTTCCGCTCTCCCGTTTCTCTCTGCAGCTATGCTCCGAGGCATCAAAGAATCCTGGGGTACCCCAGATTCACCCCAGGTCACAAGGGATCAAACCGCGGGGGGCTATCGTATCCGTGCCTTTCCCCACTAACTTTCATCAGTGCAGCAAGTAGTAGTCTTCCGCTGCGTCCTGTTCCTGCATGCGAAGCGCCTTTCCGCGCTTTCCCAACGTGTGCTCATATTTATTCAGATTCACAATGACGTAGATTCTCGCGCGGCCGTTTGTCTCTATGTAGAAGGCGGGTCTTCCCGCCGTGCTGGTCGTGGCGCATGGATCCATGACCATCAAGCTGCCCTCATCCTGCAATATCTAAAACCTTGTTCTCGACATATGCATATGATTGTGGTGTGTCTCTTCTTGGCCTTGTGCACCCGCTTTGCAAGGATAGCCTTCTCTGGGACCTTGTGACGACATGCAATACGCTCGTGTTTTTCATCTCCTTCCTCGTCTCGCTCGTTCGTTCTCAACGCTGGGCCATCGACTGTATACCCGACACTTGAAAACACGAATCGGATTGGCTGAGATGAGGCTCGTTCATCGTCGGCGACCACGGTCCTCTCGTTCTCTTCGCTCAGAGTCGCCGGCCGTGAGAAAGTGGGTCGCCGTTTGGCACTCTCGTGATCTCGCTTCTCGGTAGAATGGACAGGTTCCTGATTATTTTACCTCTCCCGCCTCCGCTCTGATTCGCTGGCCAATCGTTGTATTGCGAAGCTCGGTCGGGTGCGAACAATTTCTCCGGCTTCCGCTGCACCAAGCCATGGTAGAAATACCGGGCGAGGCACATTCCATCCCCCGGGGTGTCTCGACTCTGCCACTCTGCTCTCCAGGATCTGAGCCGACTTCGACGTCATGTTCCGAGGGACTGTGCTCCGTGCGTTTGCTGCGATCGTGCTGTTAGTCGGGGTTGGCAAGGCGGCACCCCTTGAAAGGGACATCGTCCCTACGGTTACGCTGGACAAGGGGACCTTCGTCGGTTTGAACGAGGGAACGGTGTACAAGTACCTGGGTATACCTTTTGCTCAGCCACCGTGAGTCGAAAGCCTCGGAGATGCCTTACTGCCGAGTTAACGACTTCGATAGGGTAGGAGACTTGCGATTCAATCTACCCGTCGCGAACAGCCCCTACAATGGGACGCACAGCGCGATAGCATTAGGAGCTGCGTGTCCACAGCAAGCTGTATCGCTACCGATAGGCACCGGGCTCGTCGCTGACGCGGTCGCCTTCATCGTCAACTCGATATTTCAGATCGTCACCGGCAGCGAGGAAGATTGTGAGCCTTGACACATTATATCGCAGTCGCAGCGGCAAAGGCACTGACCTGTCCGTTTCCAGGCTTGACGATCAACGTGGTCGTTCCCTCGACGGCCACATCTACGTCCAAGCTTCCCGTGGTCGCCGTATGTCCTGGGCATATCTACTTGTGGCACGTGACTGACTCCTCTGCGACATATCAGTGGATTTTTGGAGGTAGAGCATAATCTTCTCCAGCCATCATTTGTATCTGAATCTCGATCAGGCGGGTTCGAACTTGGTTCTCCGGGCATGTGAGGACTACTCTCCAACCGTTTGAGTTGTATTAATTGCTGTGACTGCAGGTACGATGGAGGCGTTATCGTAGAACGTTCCATCGAGCTTGGAGAGCCTATCATCTACGTTAGCATGAACTATCGAGTATCTGGTCAGCTCTCCTCGCTCAGCAGACCCATATATTCTGATATACCTCGGTGTAGCATTTGGATTTCTCGCAAGCCAAGAAGTAAAAGATGCCGGAGTAGGTAATCTCGGTCTGCAGGACCGTAAGTCTCTTGGAACTCTCGTTGTTTGCAATGATCAAAACTCAAGGTTGGAGCAGAACGATTGGCGCTGAAGTGGATTCAAAAATACATATCTGCTTTTGGTACGTCCTTCGTACCGCATAGCGAATCCCATCGTACTGACTCGAACCAGGGGGAGATCCCGGTATGGTTCATCACACTGTGCGAGGACTGGCAAGCATTTAACCTGACGCAAACGATCGCAGACAAAGTCACGATGTAAGTGATGCGGTATTGGTATTGCGACGAGGCTGATGTAGCAACACAGATGGGGAGAGAGTGCTGGTGCTATATCTGTAGCAATGCATATGCTCACTAACGGTGGTGACACCGAAGGCCTGTTCCGAGGCGCGTTTATGGAATCCGGAAGCCCGATCCCTGTCGGTGATATCACGCATGGGCAGGCAGTATATGACGCAATCGTGGATGAAACGGGGTGTACAGGCGCATCGGACACTTTGCAATGTCTCCGCGAGCTTCCGTATACGACGCTCAAGGCCGCCGTGGACAAGTCTCCTAATATTTTTTCATTCCAGGTCGGTCCGCTCGAGTATATGTCGCCCAGAATGCTAACATCAACCTTCTACGTTATCGCAGTCGCTAAATCTGGCTTATCTTCCTCGTGTTGACGGAAATTTCTTGACGGACGACCCGCAGAAATTAGTACAAAGCGGAAGCGTGGCTGACATTCCATTTGTCAATGGTGCGTGAGGGAGCTTTATTCTCTACCGCACGTTGACGAATTTGGTGCGCGTATCAGGCGACTGTGATGACGAAGGTCAGTCTCAACCGCATGGGCGATATTGAATGCCCTCATGGAAAATGATACAGGGACCCTATTTACTCTGGTATTGCTCAATATCACGTCAGTCATTACTCTTATGCAGGTAGCGTACCGTGGCTCAACTACTTTATACCAATAGGACCGAGCAGGAAGTGCGGGACTACGTAGTTCAGAACTATGTCCCGGAAATTTCGGATTCGGATCTTGACACGCTGCTCACGCTTTACCCTGCTGACCCGACGCAAGGATCGCCCTTCGATACTGGTATTCTGAACGCCTTGACTCCGCAATTTAAGCGACTCGGTGAGGCATCGTCGTCGTGCGTAGTCACCATCCTGGCTGACGACATGCCATTAGCCGCAATGCAAGGTGATCTCGTGTTCCAGGCCCCGCGCCGATTCTTCCTGCAGCAGCGATCTGCGAAGCAGAAGATCTGGTCTTTCTGTAAGTCAGATCCTCGAATCAGTCTGGTGTCCGGTACTCATCTCATCTCAGTGAGCAAGCGACTTAAAGCTCTTCCTGCTCTGGGGGCTCTCCACGCCTCGGATATACTTGATATCTACGGCACCGGCGAGATGCGTGATTACCTCGTGCATTTCGTCAACAATCTCGATCCCAATGGAGACACGGGCACCACGTTCAACTGGCCTCAGTATACGAACGACAGCCCTCAGCTGTTGACGTTCCTCGATGACCTCACTACGCCGCTGCAGATAACCCAAGACAATTACCGCGTCGATGGTATGCAATTACTGACCCAGCTCAGTCTCGCCGAGCCGCTGTAATAATTGCCGGTGTCAGTTGCGTATTTCATTGCACATTTTATAGTCCACGTGGATGTGCGTAAGATGAAGCTGTCCGACGTTGTCCTCGCAAGCCTCTTGAACATAGTGACACTGCTGCGGCCGATATACGTGATGGATCAGGTACCTTTGTCAGAGCTGATACGTGTGTTCTCGAGTTTCGGTGCAGCCCTGCGACGTGCATCGAGACACCACTCTTTGCAAGCACGATATGCGTAGTCGATATTACCTGAGCTTGCTCTGGTATCTCATAAATGGATATTATGGAAGCGACGTCTAACCGGGTAGGTAGGTAGGTAGGTAGTGTAGCGCTCGGCGATGACGCAGGGCCGTACCGACATCAATGTCAGCGCTGACATCATCACTCCTGCCCGCGGCGTGCTTCTCGCTACTCAACGCCCGTGGCTGCGCGCTACTCCTTGCTCTCGTCGCTCGTCGCCTCGACCCACTACGCTCCGGACGTACGGCTGCCGCTCAACAGGCACGATCGATACCTGCGCAGGCGGCCGACAACTCAAGATCACCAGGATCAGGACGGTTGGGAGGGATCGAGAGGATTGAGGATGATCGCGCACGGACCCTAGACGATGCGTATAATAGATTTGCTCTCTCTTGTATCGTATTCCAGCACCCGGCTCACCAGCGACTCTCATATACACCACATTTCATTTCTATCTACGTGCGAACCACCGACAGCGATCCGAATCAGCGACAGCGACAGCGACTAGCATACCGACCACCCCAGTTCTCCCCTAGCCTCTGTTTCCTCGCGCGCTCCGCGCGCTCCATCACCTACCTACATCTTTACCTTCAAGCAGTACTACGTTGCCTTGAGGACCCGCGCATCACAACATCGCGTAGCCCAGCCCCACCGGCTTCGCACCACCACAGTAGGTAGGTAGGTAGGTAGGGAATGTATCCGATTCGCTGAGAGCTCATTCTCACGGCTTTCGACCACTTTCCACGCCACACAGCTCAAGCGAAGTACGAGTACATAGCCTTCTTAGGGACCTTGTGACACCATGCAACATGCTTGTGCTTTCAACTTTCCTTGGTTGTCTCCATCGTTCGTTCTCCACTTGTTCCCCATGGTGGATCAACGACTACACCTGACACTTGGCAACACGAGATTCAGTTATCGTCAGCGACCACGTTCCTCTCGTTCTCTTCGCTCAGAATCGCCGGCCGTGAGAAAGTGGGTCGCCGTTTAGCACTCTCGTGATCTCGTTTCTGAGACCAATGACCAGGTTTTTGATTACTTTTCTGCATCCACTCCGATTCGCTGGTCATCTCGCGAACAAGTCGACCCCTGTATTGCGAGTCCGAACATGCTTCTCCGGCTAAAGCTGCACCGAGCTATGATAGAAATACCAGGGGAGGCGGACTCGATCTCTCGGGGTGTCTCGACTCAGCTACTCTGCTTACAAAGATCTGAACGGACTTCAACACCATGTTTCATGGAACCCTGCTTCGTGCGTTCACTGCGATCGTGCTGTTTGTCGGGGTTGGCAATGCGGTATCCCTTGGACGCGCCGTCTTCCCTACGGTTACGCTGGACAAGGGGACATTCGTCGGTTTGGACGAGGGAGCGGTGTACAAGTACCTGGGTATACCCTTTGCTCAGCCACCGTGAGTCTGAAACCCGGGACTGCCTCGATCCAGCTAAGATGACAATGTCTATAGGGTCGGGAACTTGCGTTTGCGTTTTCCCGTCGCGAATAGCCCATACACTGGGACGCATACCGCGAGCGTCTTCGGACCTGCGTGTCCGCAACAAGCTACACCGTTTCCCACAGAAAATCCGCTCATCACCGAGGCCCTAAAAAATATCAGCTCGCTCCTCTCGACTATTTCCACCGACTCTGAAGATTGTGGGTTTATTCGTGCTCATCACGTAGGCGGACAGGCATTCAGTTTAGCTACTTACGGCGCACTTCTGCCTTCATTCAGGCTTGACGATCAACGTGATCGTTCCGTCGAATGCAACTCCAACCTCTAAGCTTCCGGTGGCCGCGGTATGTGCAGCCATCTCTCGTTGACGCCCATGCTCACTAATCCACGATACCTCAGTGGATCTATGGAGGTATGTCAGAACTTCCTCTTCTGATTACATTGGTCTGACGTTCATATAGGCGGGTTTCAGACAGGTTCTGCCGAGGTGTAAGGAAGACCGTCGAAGCTTAGAGCTGTGCTCATGCTACCTTTGCCTAAAGGTACGACGGAGGTTCCATAGTCGAACGTTCTATCGAGCTCGGAGAACCTGTCATCTACGTCAGCTTCAACTACCGATTATCCGGTCAGATATTCTGGCTAGTCGCCTGCACATTTATTGATCGTCCTCCGTTAGCATTCGGCTTCCTCGGAGGTCAAGAGGTGAAGGATGCAGGTTTAGGCAACCTGGGCCTGCAAGATCGTACGTCTCTCAAATTTACCGGCGTCGTGGATGAATAACTAATCGCATTCGAAAAAAGAGCGTTTGGCGCTGAAGTGGATCAATAGATACATATCTGCGTTCGGTACGTCGTTTCGCTGGCGCTCGACAAGTCGCTGGACTAATACAACCTAGGTGGTGACCCCGGTACGACTCATCACTCGTTAGAATAGTGCGTCAACCACTTACTTTGCCGGGAAGACCGTAGATAAAGTCACCATGTGGGACCTGAAGCATTAACGGTGATGGGATGCTGACGTAGCGATCTAGATGGGGAGAGAGTGCCGGCGCTATATCCGTAGCGCTGCACATGCTCACCAACGGCGGCAATACTGAGGGCCTCTTCCGTGGCGCGTTTATGGAGTCCGGAAGCCCCATTCCAGTCGGCGATATTACACGCGTGCAAGGTCTATATAACACGATCGTGGCCGAAACCGGGTGCAGAGGAGCATCGGATACGTTGCAGTGTCTGCGCCAGGTTCCATACGCAACCCTCAAGGCGGCTATGGACAACTCACCCAACCTCTTCTCGTACCAGGTGCGTCAGCTTGGACAAATATTGGCTAGCAAAGTCACGTACAATCACCGAAATAGTCCCTGAACGAGGCTTATCTTCCTCGCGTCGACGGCAAGTTTTTGACGGACGACCCGCAGAAGCTGGTGCAAGCCGGCCGCGTTGCCGATATACCATTCGTGAGCGGTACGTATGAATCTCTTACTTGTGCGACAGCGGGCTGATGACCTTGACCGTCGCACCAGGCGACTGCGATGACGAAGGTCAGTGGTTGAGCCCGGCGATATCTGCTATCCTCCTCACGAAACGGATTCAGGCACCTTGTTCAGCGTGGCATTATCGAATATCACGTCCGTCCCGTCCTCCGTGATCCGCTTATCGTTACTGAGCTCTGTTATATAGCACGGATCAGGAATTCAGAGATTACGTTGTCCAGAATTACCTGCCCAAGATTTCGACCTCGGATCTCGCTGAGTTGCTCACGCTTTATCCATCGGATCCGACGCAAGGATCCCCTTTCGATACGGGTGCATTGAATGCCTTGACTCCGCAATATAAGCGACTCGGTGAGGCAGCGTCTTCGGATGTAGTCCCGAGGGCGGACTTACGATTTGACCATCAGCTGCTCTGCAGGGCGATTTCGTGTTCCAGGCTCCGCGTCGCTTCTTCTTGCAGCAGCGTTCTGCGAAGCAGAAGATCTGGTCTTTCTGTGAGCCTGATTCTCGAATCAGTTCGGTCATCGGTACTCATCACGTCGCATCAGTGAGTAAGCGTTTTAAATCCCTACCCGCCCTTGGCTCAGTCCACGGTTCGGACGTCTTCGATATCTATGGCACCGGCGAGATGCGGGACTATCTCATACATTTTGTCAATAACCTGAATCCTGACGGAAACACCGGAACCACGTTCAACTGGCCTCAGTATACGAACGACAGCCCTCAACTGTTGACGTTCCTCGACGACCTCGTCACGCTGCTGCAGATTACCCAAGACACTTACCGTGTCGACGGCATGAACTTGTTGACACAACTCGGCCTCGCCGATCCGGTATAACACGCTTCAACTCCGTTTTCTGTTTATTGGTGTACAGAGAAGCAAATCATATTATTACTGAATTAACACGCACGAGGTCTGATTGCGAGATTAAGCTAACCTGGCGTCGTTCCAATGAGAACAAAATTGCGACGCGCAGGAATACATCTGCAGTCCGGCCAAGCGGATTGCGGCCGGTGCAAAGGGACGAGCTACCCGCACTCGCTCCCGGATAGGTAACCGATAGCCTAAATCGGGCGTATTATAATTACTCCAAACGCGAGCAGGCCGGGCCAGGTGGCGAGAGCTCGTCACTCAACGTCCACCTTTGTTTATCTCAACGCTCGACGATGCGCGCGCCCCCGCCGATATCGTTTTCCTTAAACTCGACGACGCTCGTCGTCCTCCCGACAACAAACACTGGGCTCACGCATAATCTTGTCGCGCAGATCACTCTGGAGGCCGGAGGGTACGCGTGTATGCGTCAGCACCGCGACGCGATCGCTGACTTGGGGCGCGCATATACGCAGTCCAAAGACCGTGGATGTGCTCGCGAGCTACTTCATCGCCCAAAACGAGATTGCGGTGAGGCAACGGGCGTAAAAAAAGCGAGATGTTCGCATCTCACTCCGTGCGCTCATTGTAGACTCTGATCCTCAAGCTGGTATCGGCGGACACGCACGAGCCCATACGTGCACCTCTGGTGGTGGAAGGCACACGATACAGGTTGCTGATAGGCGAGTCACCGGCGGCTTATGGGAAAGAAAGAACATCTGTTCAAACATGCATGCGCATATAGCCAACAAACGATGGGCGTATGGTAAGACACTACGCCTTGCGTGGGGGCATGATCGGCTGGTCACATGCGAGCGCAAGTGGACGTTTACCTTCAGCTGCACGCCGCATCTCGACAGATAGATCCTTTCAAATAGCGCAACTCCTCTCGATGCCGATGATCATATAATCTGTGACGCCCGGTTCAGGACCGCAACAGCCCGCTGATCCTAGCGATAGACGACGGATGAGACGAGCGCGAGAGAAAGAAAGGAATCAGGACGTACCCTGACTGCCACGACCCGCTGCTGGCGGTGCAATCCCCGCCGAGGGTGAGCCCAGGCGCGAGACAGTCGCTCACGATCGCGCTCGCCGAGTTGGCCAGCCCGTCCCAGCAGTATTCGATCTCGGCCTTGTCCGCGCGTGTGTTGCCGAGTGCGGCGCGGCAGGTGCTGAAGTCGATGATGATCGGGTTCGGGAAGCCGGTGCCTTGAACGAATGTCGGGCCTGCGTTTTTTTTTTTTGGATTTTGGATTTGACATGTCATATCGATGTGTCAACCAAGAGAGAGACGTACCGATGAGGGAAGGCATGTTACGTAGAACTTGTACGAGGGTCTCGCAGTCGGACGTCGTCGGTGCGGGATCGACAGTGGAGAACGTCTGGCATGACACGGCGCCTACGGGTGTCAGCATCGGTCTCAGTAATGTCTTACATACGTGAACGCGGAGGGTTCGAGGAACTTACAGCTCTGGCCGCACTGGCAGATATTGGGGTGCGCGCATTCGGAGACGCTGTCACGCTCCGCCAGGGGTCCAAGAGAGCGCCGCGCGGTTGTCAGGCGCGAGCCAAGGTGGCGCGCGAGGACCGAGTGCTGGATGTCGACCGGCGCGGGGGACGGGACGTGGCCGTGATCGCAGCTCGGGATGGTGATGTTCACGATGTGTGAGTGGACTTTCACGGCTTCGGTGACCAGAACCGTCTCACTACAGCCTGTCAGGTGCATCGTTAGATGGTAGAGACGTGATGGATATGACTGGCGAACGTACCGTCCCCTATATATGCACGTGCATTGAGGAGAACATGTGAGAGCACACTGAAGAGCGCGAGCAGGCGAAGCATGGTCGTCGACTTGGGTATCGCGGATATGCGTCTGAGCTTTTTATGTCAATTGACAGTAGGCGGAAGAGATATTTCGAAACGTGTGTTCTTGGTGACTGATGGAGCGAGCCCTCACGTTGGTTCGACATGGGAGTCAGGTGGTGACAGCGCAGAGGACGTTGAGACAATCGAGGCATTTCTCTCATGAACCTGGAAGCGGCGGACGGGCGTACGGACACAGGAGGCACTACGAGCTGGCGCGTTGTGATCTGATATCATCGAGGGTAGTACGTTTGGGGCCCGAGGATGGAGGCATCCAGGTCGAAACGCAGAGAGCGTCTTCGACGGCTGATTGTATAGAATGATATAATCCTGTTTCTTCATTGCTCGGTGGCAAGATACTGCATCGAGAAGATGCTGCGGCCCTTGCTCGTGTCGTTGGCAGGCGTGAGATAGGACGGGGGCAAGACATGCTCGTAGTTATTGAAACGCACACATGGATGCTGCGATCTTGCAGATTTGCGCGGAGACGGGAAGAAAAGGCGGTGGATAAGCACGCGATTGTCATGCATGCCGATGCCAGTTCATATTCGCATATCCTGAGAGCGTGTATCAAGTTGGTCTCAGTCCAAGAGGGTATATCACCGTATACATCATCACATACGGATATGTCTTGGATCAAGGAAGCCATAGGGTAGCAGAGAGAGATATACAAAGCCTCAGGTGCGACCTCGTGCATTCAGTCACAGAGCGATACTGCATATTGAGTCACTGTCAAGTATAGGATCAGAGCACATTGCCAGCCACTCAGTCCGTGGCTGATGCTCGAGCGCAACCACGTATGATATGAGAGCCAGAATGTCGTCGATTTCTTGGCGCAAGGTGCAGTATGTAGGCTCATCGTGTTCAATGTCCACGATGTGGTCGTCGTGGATGATGGTCGGGAGCAACGTGGAATTAGGCGCCGGCTGCGCCACGCGCCCTGCCCCGCGCTCTCCTCCGGCTTCCACCACCTCCGGTTCGCTTGCTCGACGTTCCGCGATCCCGGGGACACCGCGAACGATGGCGATATCCGCCCAAACCAAGCGGACCATAGTAGACGGTAAGGTGATTCCCCATGCGTATGTTCAGACGCTCACGTTGTCTCCTCCGTTAGTCGCGCTCTTCCTGGCCTCGCAGGTTCGTTCGCGGCCGTGCCCACCCGTTGTCGATACTTACGCATAATGAACATGCAAGGCAGCGCTGTACTACACAGTGCGATGGGTTTTATATCCGTCTGCTGACGTACCGAAGGTGAAGGCGAAGAACCTCGATCTACTCAAGAGCCGCGGAAACGGCAAGCTCAAGCTCGACGAGCACGAGAGTGCGTCGCCATCGCCATTCATCTTTTGAAAGTTCCATACCTGACCCATGGGGCTGGTAGAGATTATTGCGGCGGAGGTTATTCACCCAGACGACATCAACGTTCGGTTCTCTGGTATGGCTACCTACTCCGCCGTCCTCCACGAGCATTCTAGCTAACGTCGTTGGGCAGACATTGGTGGACTGGACCCAATCATATCCTCTCTTCGCGAATCCATCATATACCCCCTTCTCTACCCTCACCTCTTCCCGACCACCTCCCTTCTCTCCGCTCCTAAAGGTACCCGTCCCCGCCGTTCCCTCCACCCCCATCATGGCACTCACCGATTCACCTCACAGGCGTCCTCCTCTTTGGCCCACCCGGGTGCGGCAAGACGATGCTGGCCCGTGCGCTCGCAAAGGAATCTTCAGCGACCTTCATCAACGTCGCCGCCTCCACGCTGTCCTCCAAGTGGTACGGCGAGTCGAACAAGCTCGTCGCCGCCCTCTTCGCGCTCGCGCGAAAGACGCAGCCGGCGATCATCTTCATCGACGAGATTGACAGCTTTCTTCGTGAGCGCTCCCGTGGCGACCACGAGGTGACGGGTATGGTCAAGGCCGAATTCATGACGTGCGTTGTTACCTCCAACCTCCTTCCGTCCCATACATTTGGTTTTGCTCCGCATTTAACTCTCAATTATCATCGATGCTGATGGCGATGTTGGCAAACAGGCTCTGGGACGGCCTCACGTCCGCGACGGACCGCATCGTGGTCCTCGGCGCAACCAACCGCCCGGGCGACATCGACGCCGCCTTCCTCCGCCGCATGCCCAAACGCTTCGGGATCAACCTCCCCGACGCCGACCAACGCGAAAAGATCCTCCGGCTTGTGCGCTCGTCCTTCCCCGTCCCCGTACACCCTCGCTGACACCGGACAGATGCTGCACGACACCCCGCTCGCACCCTCCCTCTCCCTCCGCGCACTCGCCGAGCGCGCAGAGGGCCTTTCCGGCTCGGACCTCAAAGAACTCTGCCGCGCCGCGGCTATGATCGCCGTCCGCGAGCGCATGGCCGCGCTCGAGGCCGAGCTCACCTCACATCCGCACGACGCGCCTTCCTCCTTCGCGCCCACCCACCCCGCCTACTTCGAGGATGCGAAAGCCGCACATCACAACGATAGCAAGGGCGCGGGGGCGAGCGACGAAGCGATTAGGGCGGCGCTGGCGCGCGACGGCGCGGCGGAGTCGTTTGCGGCGCTTCGCCCGCTCACGATGGACGACTTCGTCCGCGCGGGCGAGCAGTTCCTCGCGACGATGTCGAGCGGGGGTACGAACGCGTCTGCGCTGCATTCGGGGGGCGGTGTGGACGACGTGGACGACGTCCCGGCGGCGGCGGATAGGAGTGGGGCGAGTGCGTACGTGGACGCCGAGGATCGGTCAAGGATAGATGACGTGCCGGGGGAGGAGCTTCAAGCTGAGGAGAAGGAGCATGTGTTGGATTGATTATCGTATATAGATCGCTCCGCCGTTGTATGAACGGTTAGATTATTACGCTTTGAATAATGTGCGATAGCACCCCTCACCGCGCTCTTCTTCAAGAGTGACCAGAACACCGAAAAGCGGTCTCTTGCGTCGAATATACTGTACATTATGCTTGTCAGGATCTATGCGGTACTGTATGTCATCTATCCCTCCAACAATGGCGCCACGCGCCCCATCATCTCCTCTCCAGCCACCCGTTTCACGAACTGCAACCTCGCGCGGGCCATCTCGTCTCCCAGCTCTCCAAGGCAGTCCGGGGGGAGGAGAGCCGCGCCCTCGCCCGCCCGCCTTTGTGTGTAGCGCACGACCTCTCGCACCGTCGCATGGTCCGCCTGGCCCAGCACCGCGCGAAGCAGCTTCTCCGCGCGCTCGTCCCCACCTCCCTCCGCCTCTTCCCCGCGCAAGTCGGGCCACACGCTGGCCGATACGTGATGTACCGCAATGAGGCGCAAAAATCCGTCCTCCATCAGTCGCCCGCCGAGAAGCGCACGAAGGTACGCCGCGAGCACCTGCGGGTCGCGCTCAACGGGGTAGAGGAACTCGCGGATGTTCCCTGTCGGAACATCACCCGGTAGCGTGCGTACGGTCCGCAACGCGTGTGCATAGTCGGCCCATAGGAGCCGGCGATAGTCGACCGCGTAGCGCGTGGACAAGGGCGGAAGGAGCAGGCGCGCGAAGAGCGGATGGCCGAAGGAGACGGCGTCGTAGAGCGCGACAAAATCGGTGTAAAACTGGAAGAACGGCACGGCCGGGCCCAGGAAGCGAGCCGCGACAGCCTCCAGCGCATCGTCCTCACCAGCTAGGGCGTTAGAACCGGAGGCGGCGGAGAGCGAGTGCGACGCGAGCACGTCCGTCATGAGTTGGCCCACGGCCGGGTCCCGGTACACCTCTCCGTCTGCATCCTGTGCTTGTTGCCCATGCTCGAGCATGAACACCTTCATGCACCCGAACACGACCTCGTCCCGGCTCGGCGCAAACTGCGGCAACGAATGCTTGAGCAACACAGCGCGCGCCGCGTTGGTGAGCACGAGCACCGCGCGGACGACTTCGACCTCGGACGTGTCCCATGTGCCAGGAAGGGAGCGCATGACGTCGGAGGTACCAGAACGGAGGAGGTGGTCAAGTGGGTGGAACAACCAGTCGCGAGGGAGTGGAAGGCCGACGACAGGCGTCGAAGTCGAGCCTGCGACGCGCCGATGTACCGATCGAGGGAGGCGCAGCGTAGTGGCGAGCCCAATCGACTCCGGTGTCGGCGCTAGTGGGGAAATGTACAGTTCATCAGTGGGCCACCTGCGCGCTGCGGCTACGAGCAGCGGCGCGATCGCCACTACGCCACGCGGTGCCCAGACGGCGGGCGGTGCAGCCCAGCCCTGCGCGCGGGCGAGATCTTCGGTGACGAGGGCAGTCAAGTCCGCGATGATACCCTCCGCTGCGGCTTCATCGCCTGGTAATTGGCGAGCGGCGATCGCCAGCGCCTGTGCAAACCAGACGTCCGATGTGGAGGTGGGCAGCCATCGCGACACGCGGAGGTACATGCTCAGGAGGGCCGATAGCGGCCGCAGGAGCGGGAGAAGGGATGGATGGTCATCGTCCAGGTCGTGGATTCGCGCCCAAATCGGGTGCACAACAACCCTAGCGCATAGACTCGATAGACTGTTGAATGGTAGCGCAAACGGCGGTGCGGAAGGTCGAGGACCATCGTCGCGGCGGGCGGGAAGACAGACCAACCATAACCGAGCTGCGGCGGCGAGCGTGGCGGCGTGTCTTGAGATCTCATCCGCCGCGTCCGTCCATGCGCGCGCGTCCTGGGCGGAATGCAACAGGTGATCAATATGCTCTAGCGCCTTATTCACCACGATAGTCTCTGGGCCCGCCTCAAAACCAATCCGCAGGGCCGCTGCCGCCTCCGTTCGCTCCGTCTCTCCCGCCTTCACCGCGTTCACTCGCGCGCCCTCAAGCCACGCCGCGAGCGCGTTCCACACAGAGCTCCATGTATCCTCTCCGATGGGTGATGCGGATGCGGACAGCGCGGTGTTCAGCTCGAGGAGATCCGCCCCCCAGCCCCATCCTACCACCTGCGACCATCGGAGGTCGTGCGCGGGCGTTGTTCGGTGCGGGTCGCGAGCACACACCATCCACACCTCAAGCGCACGTGCATATGCGGCGACAAGCTGCGCGTCGCCCATGCTAGGATGTCCGGCGAGGAAGAGTACGTGCTGCCCTAGGCGAGCGAGCGGCTCTGCTGCGGTCGCAGTGACGCTGGCGTACAATCCGTAGGATGCGAGCGCGGTGTAAAAGCGGAGGGTGCCTGCTGCCAAGGAGGTGGCAAGGGAAGGACCGTGAGGGGAGGCAGGTGGGAGTACGGCGAGGAAGCGGAGGAGCGCGTCGGCGGGCTCAACGAGCGCGTTCGCGTTTTGGCGGCTGGAGGATGCGAGGATAGTGAGGAGACGCAGAGCGGCGGGATCTGGGGCGTCTTGGGCGGATTCTGAGGATGGTGAACTTGACGATGATGAGAGGGAGTCGGCGAGTAGGAAGACACGCATGAGGTTTGGTACGAGGTTTGGCGTGCTCACAATAGCGGACGCCATCTCGTTCGAGTGCTGCGCGAGACGGTGCAGGACGGCAAGAATTTGGTGGAGCGATGTGCGGGGAAGCTCACCGGCGCCAAGCGCATCCGCAAATCGAGGGAAAATGCGGTCGATCGGGAGCGACGCGAGTATGTCCGATGTCTTCGAGTCAGCCTCGTCTGAGGGAGACGCGGCGGGATCCGAAGGAGGCGAGGGTCGTTGGAGCTCTATTCCCTCAACGTTTGCATGACGAGGCTCCCAGTCGACGATGCATGCCCACATGAGCTCTACTGCCCGCGCGCCGAGCCCACCGCGGGCATCGAGCGCGTCCGTCGCGGCCGACAATATCTGTCCACGAAGCGCTTCTTCCTTTCCGTCCAGTGCACTCATGAGACCGATCTCATCGTCATCCTTCTCTGTTCCCGCCTCCTTCCTGTGTTCCCGACGTCGCCGCATGCGCCCGAGACGACCGACGACGCCCGTCAGGAGGGACAGCATCGCACCACGCTGCGCCCCGACCGTCGAGCGGGTGAGCAGTAGTGCGTCAGCAAGGGTATAGCCGGCGTGGGCGCCCTCAGCGTGGTGATGCAGGCCGAGATGAGTCGGAAGAGTAGCGGTGAGGGCGGGTGCGATTGGCGCGCCGCGCAGATCGAATCGCGGTCCAGCCGCTGTAGAGTCTGCGGCTTCCGTTGAAGGGAGGGTGGAGGTGGAGGTGATCCATTCGAGTGAGGGATCGTGCGCGGGGGCGGAGGGGAAGAATCGCCGGCGAATGTCCTCGGGCGTGCCTTCCTGCGCGTCGCCTTGCGGTCCGGAGGGTGTGGGATCCTGGGCGGAGGCGGGTAAGGCGCGCCCCTTCCATGTGCCAAGGGAGACGGCGTCGGCGTCGTCCGCACTCGGCGGGGGCAACGCCAGTGCGCGTTTGCGAGGCGAGGGCGGCGCGGAGTCGTATACGTGCACGTCGCCGGGCTGAAGGTCGGCGAACCGCAGCTTGCGGTCCGCGCGGCTCGGAGGGCGGGTGAAGCTGCCGCTTCCTCGACGGGAGAGGGCGGAGCGCGTGGGCGACTTAGGGAGTGGGGATAAGGGTGCCGTGGAGTGCGGCGGAGGGGTCGTCGGTCTGCTGGAGGGGGAAGGGTCGGATTTGTCTTGTTCTTGCGTTGGAGCAGATTCGACAACAGTTGCTGGCGCGGCGGATGGCTCTACATATTTCCAATGTCAGGTAGGCGGGTGCAGAGTAGGATGTATGCGCTCGTACTTTCGGTTTGTCCTTGTTCTTGATCCTGAGCTGCCTGCCGCCGCGCCCGCGCTCGGAGAAGGATATCGCCAATGTTCGCGCCAAAGCGTTGCAGAATGTCCTCTACCTCCGCCGCGCGCTCTTCTGTCGACATCTTCAGTACCCGGCGCTCGTTCTCCTCACTGATTTGGTCTCGCCAGTTGCGCTCCTCCTTGCCTTCCACATCGTCTCCATTTCCATCTTTGTCGCTCGCAAGTTTGGTCGGTTCGGATACGAGTCCTGCAGGCTTGACCGGCTGCGAGAGCGTGTGGCTTGGTTTGATGATGGGGACCTGGCGAGAGATCGAAGGGGTTGTAGATGAAGCTTGTCGACGGGCTTGCTCCTCTCGTGCGCGCGCAAAGGCGCTTTTCGACCGGTGTTGGACCGACGGGAAGCCACTTTTGGCTTGACCGGCGTCTCCATCAGCGGCGGCGGGCGCGCGGGGCGCAGATGACGGTTTTCGTTCGAGGACCGAACCAACGAGTGATGGCGATTGGAACATAGCGACGATTTTCGTGTAGTCGGGATATAGTCCGAACACCAGCACAGATTATTTGGGCATACGGGAAAGTCAAATGTAGAGTACAAGAGCAAGTTACTGAGGAAGATTAGCCGAGACAGAAATCTAACCGTTTTGCTGGTGGACGTCGGCCACAAAACGAATGCGCCCTTAGACGCCCGGTAAGCGCGCACATAATCTCATCAGTCGCTGCAATGGCTGGCTATCACTGAGAATATGCATGCAGAACTAAAACATTTGAGAGCAAGAGAGAATCTATATGAAATCCTCTTCAATCGCCCAGCCTGTCTTCTTTGGCTCCTCCTCGTCATCCTCGATATTGTACAGATTGTCGTACGAGCGCGCCGCCTTCTCCGCTTCGCGTTGGCGCGCAAGCTCGAGATCTGCCTTTTTCTGCGTAACGAAGGTCGCGCGTCAGGTCAGAACAACGACAAGCAGAAAGGTAAGAGTGATACGCACCTTGGCGGCGGCTGCAGCGCGGCGCACAGCGCTCTCCGCCTTGAGCCTGTCGACCTTCTCCTGCTCGTGGTCGACTGCTCGCTCGACCTTGGTCTTGTTCAGCCGGTTCACGATCGGATTTTCGCGCTTTGGAATATGCACTGCAATCGTACGCCATCATATATTTGTCAAAGATTACACCCATGGCGGCGCATGATGAACTTACCTCGTTTGACCTTCTTATCGTTGTGGAATGAAACCTGGCCGATCGCCATGTCGCCCGTTTTCTGAGCGCGTGGTCGAGATCAGAAGAGTTAACAGATCAATCCTTGCGAATGAGGTGAGCGTGTCGGCGCTACAAGGCGGAGAAAGGGCGCACCTTAAGGTTGTCGGCTGGGGTGTAGATGATCACGATGTTGTCTTTCTTGTTGCCTGCATCATCTGGGTCAACATCTTATGTTAGAGCATAATCGCGAACAACGTACCTTCAATCGAATTGGCCTTGACGAGTTGCGCACAATCGATGAGCAGCGGCTCGGGGATCGCGTCCCAGGTCATGCCCTCCGGCATGCGCAGGTAGACGTGCGCGGACGAGAGCTTGTCGACGTGAAACCAAACGTCCTGAGGCCATGCGAACTTGATAAGGTCCTCATCTAAGTAGACCAACAGTGTCGTGGTTCATCGTCCGGTGCTGCAGCTGGAGTGTAGCCCCGTACTTTCGTGTTTGTCCTTGCCCATGTAGAGCGTCACCGGCGGATTGTGTACTGGAAATTATGAGTCGCGACACTCTCGTTCAGATCTCTACGATATGATTACCAGCTGAGGTGAAGAAGAGGACCATGTCGAGCCAAGTACTGCGAGTGTCGAGGTCAAGGACAAGAAACGAAGGCGGGCGCTTGTACTCTACAGCTTGCCTCTCGCCACCACCACCGCGCTCATCCTTCCGCTCTTCAAAACTCTGGCTTTCCGATCGTAAACCTGCACGCTCTTCTTTAATTTACCTCTGGGCCGAAACACGACGATTTCTCTGAGCAAGGGAAAGAGGTGCGCCACTCCTACTACACGAAAAATTCTGAACCTCACGCATATACGCGTGCAGCAGAGCCGACCTTTAAGATGCAGCCGATGCCAAACAGGTTGGGACTTGGAATGCGCCCCTCTTTCGGCCAGGGTCCCTCAATGCAGGCTCTCGCAGCGCAACAGCAAATGATGCACCACCCCGGCCAGCCGTTCGTACCGCCCCAGGCGCAGCGGGTCACCAACATGTTCATCGGCTCCATCTCAGCGGGCATCACCGACGCCTTCCTTAATTCGCTCCTCTCTGTGCGTCCCATCATCTACAGAAACGTGGACACGAAGAACGCTCATCCGAAACTCTCTGTGTTTTTCTGTAGGCCTGCGGCCCGATCAAGGCTTTCAAGCGACTCATAACTCCCGCGAACAAGCCGCAAGGGTTCGGTTTCGCCGAATTTGAAGACCCGGACGGTGCTTTGCGCGCGATGGCCCTTCTAAACGGCGTCGAGCTCCCAGCGCTCGAGGACGGCGCCGCGAACAAGAAGTTACTCGTACGTCCCCTTCTCATTACCTCGTGCTCGCGGACACACCCATGCCGGGTTCCGCGTCCTTATAGGTCAAGGCGGATGAGAAGACGAAGATGTTCCTCGACGCGTACAGCGCGCAAAAGATGCGGACAGATGTGCGTGTCCCCACCCTCGTTCCTTTCCTTAGTTTCTCACCGTTCTCACGTGCTCTTCTTCTCCCCTCGCACAGGCCGACGAAGCAAAGATAGCGGAGGCCCGTACGCGGATAGCCTCGCTCGTGCAAGAACTGACGCAGTCCTCCTCCTCGGCCGGTGGTGGTGGCGCAGGCGGTGACGGTGAGCGGTACGTGATCCCGCCGCACCTGCACGACCTGCAGGAGGCGGACCTTCCCGAGACGCAGCGAGGGCTCGTGATCTCCGAGATCGCGCAGTTCCGGGAGCGCGCGGCGCGGCGCGAGCGCGAGAAGGTGCGCGAAGTGCGCGACGCGATGCCTGCCCTTGTCTCGGGCGTTGCGGGCGGGGGTGTGGCGCCGCCGAGTGGACCGAAGCAGCAGCGCGAGTGGGGGCGAGGCGGCGGTGGCTCGGCTGAAGGGCCGGGAAGGGCGGTGGGTGCGGGCCCGCAGAGCTATGATCGACCGGTCGGGTTCGTAGCTGCGGGTGATGATCGGCAGCCCGGGGGCAAGCCGCAAAAATCGGACGAGGAGCTCGAGGCCGAGCGGAGGGAGGCACGGCGGAAAGACGAGGAGAACTCGTTCAGGGACGTGCGTACTCTGCTCTCTACTGCTTTCGCCCTTGCTGTTCTATCACTCTTTGATGTTCCGTATGCTACATTGACTGAATCGTATCCGTTAGCGAGAACGACGCTACGAACCGCGAGAACGCACCAGGATACAAGGCCTCGAGCGTGCGATCGCCCGCGTCCGCGCTGTCGAGGAGGCGGAGAAGCGAGATCGCGCCGAAATGCGCGCGCGGCTCGAAGTATGGGACGACGATGAGAGTGATGAGATGTTCTACACCGATCGGTAAGCCCGCGCTTGCCCCTTGCGATATCACTTTCCCTTACTCATTTTCGCATAGCTCGCGATGGCGCCACCTACGTGCACGCCGGTTGGCGACGGAGGAGGCAGCAGACGCCGAGTCACGGGCGTATGAAGAGCGCGAGACGGAGAACCTGCGGCGCGAGTCGGAAGAGTTCCTCGCGCGGCAGATGGAGGAGATGCAAGCGCTTCAGGAGGAGCAACGCAACGCGGGGATGCTGCTTGACGATGGCGCGCCGGTCAAGCTGAATGTATCCGCCGCGCCCAAGGCAGCCGAAGCCGCGCGCGCGAAACCGGCGCCGGAGAAGAAGGTCGTCCTTGTGGCCGACGAGGACGAGGAGGATGCGGCGGCCAAGCGGCGCAAGGTCGGGCTCGTCAAGCTCGACTTCAGCGCAGCAGAAAGCGGGGAGAAGGCGCGCGAGCGACTGGAGAAGATTCGGCTCGGCGTGCCGAGGGACAAGGAGACGCTTCTCAAGGCCAAGGTGCGGTGGGATGGGCTGTCCGATGTGAGCGACCATTGTCCTCGTCCTTGTTTCTTTCACGCTGAGCGCTGGTATAGATGATGGTCGACCGCAAATTCGAGCCGCTCGTGAAGCGTCTTATGGTTAAGTACCTAGGCGAGCTAGAGGACGACGACCTTGTCATGTTCGTGCTAGAGCATTTGAAGGATCACAAAGGGCCAGCGAAGCTCGTCGAAGGCCTAGAACCGGTGCGGCGTCGTCGTCCGCTCGTTCCAAGCTCGAACCTCTGAACTTTTCCTTCTTATCGTCCTAGGTGCTGGAGGAAGAAGCATCAGAGCTCGTCATCAACGTCTGGAGGCAGGTAATCTTTGAGAGTATGGCATACGGAGAAGGTCTACCCACCGAGAAAATGATGGTAGATTGATTGCATTCCGTGAGTGATCGTAGACGCTATCGTGCTGTACCACGTGTCTCTGTATATCAGGTTGGGCCGACTTGCTATCCAAACTTCGCTCCTGCCAAGCGCTTGCGCTGTTATCTCTCCCGTGAGTGGCTACACCCCTCCCCGTACCAGTGTGCGTTGGCGGACGTCTGTTGGATGTAGTAGTCTCCTGCCGCGATCAGCTAGGACGTTGGCTCCCGCCATTTTGCCTCCGAGACGGTGAGCCCGCACTCTTACTTCGTACTGTACTTCTTTGCCCGTCTGTCACGGCACGTTGATCTCCGGTGGAACATGTTGTACGTATACACATCATAATACATCGTCGTTGAATATTGCGCACGAGTTACTCTCACGAGACCACTACTCCGGTGGGTTTCACCCCGTACGTTTCCTCGAACTTGGATTTGATGTAGTCCCCAGCCAAAATCGTGTTGTACTTGGAGGGCCGCTCCTTTGATACGCAGGAGGGCACCGGTTCCAGCGGAACGTTGTAATCGACGCCGAAAAAGAGTGGGATGGAATACCGCTCGACACCGCTGCGATTGATGGCTCGATGGATTGTCGACTTGAAGACATCGTCTTCGATGAAGTTAGCAAACAGTGATGAAATTTAGGACGCCCGCCCACTTGTCCATCGCGCGAGTTGATCACCTAGACTGTCGTATATCCCATTAGGGGAAAAGACGGGGTAGCTGAAAAAGCGCAGATAATACACACTTGACGACCAAGGTACCCTCGATGGGCGGGGCGTCGATCCACTGGTGCTCTGGGTTCAGCACTTGTAGCGCTTGAATGCCTGGCTGCTGCCATAGAATGGTGAAGCACTGTGAAGGAGCAGGCGAACACTTAATTATGACGTCAGGTCCACTGTCTCAGGACGGACCTCCCAACTCATCGAAACCGAGTCAGCGATCCAGCATGTGAGCTGCAAGCCATACGAGTCAACTTACTCTGTGTGGGCACCAATTCCGATGACGCGATCATCGACGTCGCCGGTCTGGGGAGGGTAGTGTAACACTTTCATCAGCGCTGCTGAGTTTCGGGTCTGTTATATACTCGTCAAGCATTGCAACGCGCAGCTTCGTAAGAGAACACACTTTATCAGAAAAGAAGTCCTTGGGGAGATCCATCGCAATTGCGAGAAGTGGAAACAACAGCTGCCCAAGCCCCACAGCAGCGTGGCTGACGAGTGCCTAGTAAGCTACGGCATTCGCAATTGACAATCACTTACTAATACGTCAGAAGTGACTCACGAAAGTACGGCACCTCTTCCTCAGAAGGCCATACGTTCGCGCCGGCCATCGCACCATCATTTTGCCGCTTTTTATCGTCGACTTTGGGTATCAATTCCTCCCATCCGAATTCGAAACCTAGGATTTATGAGTAAGTAGTGCATTGGGCATTACGCGATAAATAACATACCTTCGTGAAGGTCGCCGCGATTCATCGGATCGTTGTTCGAGGACAAGACGTTGTGGTATCCTTTGAAGTTCTTACTCTTTGCCATGTCAAGCTGTGTCACGAGGGTTCGTCAACGCCCGCTATCCAGTCTCTCAGCCGCGCAATTATGGCATGCCTTCTCTTTCGCCTCGGATGGCAGGGAGAAGAACCTTGACGCGACGCTAAGCGCTTTATCTATGACTTCCTTTGGAATACCATGATTTTTGACTGTACACTCGAGTGGGTGTGTCAGCCTCAATCCACGCAGTAAATCTTGATACGTGGTCACCGTAGAAAAATCCAGCAGACACGCATGCTTCGCGGATATGACTCGCTAGGAGCTTCACCTGGTCAGAATCGGAAGACTTTGCCGCACCAAGATCTCTGTATAAGGTCATGTAACAGGCATTGCGGTACAAGTCAACCATAGGATGCTGCTTACATGACGGGGATATGATCGAAGGCCTCGTTGGCTTTATGATTGGCAGCATCGCCGAGCGACATGTTGCTCGAGTGTGATCTAAGCACCTTTGCAGCTGACTTGAAGCATGTCACAATGTGACTGGTTAACGCTGTTCACTTCCGGCCTCTTCAGCGCTCACCTACGAGAACGAGGTCAAGAGATAAGGAGCTGCTGCGGCTGTGCTGTGGGAAACAGTGCAGGTAGGTACATAGGTAGGTAGATACATTCCCGGCCCTGTCCCAATAGCGGAACAACCGGTTGCCGCACCGCAGGTCAATAGTGAAACGGTGTGTCGGATTTCTACGCCCACTTGCACCATGAATCACCGTGGCGTGCGCGGCTGTTCCTGTTTAGGGTCCTGGTGACGTTAATCTATCTCCCTAACCTACCTACCTCTCCTTGACTCGACGCTTGTGCACCTCACGATGGCACCACCCAAACATTCTAAGGGAAACAGTCTAATTGCAATATAGTAAAAACTACAAATTGTTAAGAAGACAAGACCTCGTCACCCGCGGACACAATTTCGCGCAGCCGGTAACGCTCCGCTGTCATATGAAACTCGATGTACCCATGACTGAACGCATTGTATGCCTCCAGCGCAGGCGGATGTGACTTCAAGAGGTTCTTGACTCTTCTATGTGCTGAAACTGTCTCGCTTGCTATGCGAGAGAGAGAATTCGTTTTGGTGGTCTCGTTGACGGCGGCCAAGAGCGAAATGTGATTCAACTCTTCGCCTGCAAGTGCTTCTTTATAGAATGACAGCACATCACTGCAAGATATGGCATAGTTAGATCACGAGTTGAAAGATCAAGATATACTCGCTTTCCGCTGTTTAAGTAGGTCATTACATCCGGAATAACTTGGATGAATGTTGATAGTGGCATCTCTGGTGGGAATATGAACATTGCGAAGGCCTCTGCCGCACCCGAGAGCACACGCGTGAACAGGGGATAATTAACTGCGCCTGAGCACGTCTGGAAAGGCAAAGAATGTGATCAGTATGAGAATAAGCATTCGCTACAAGTAATCGCTCGCCTGCATGTCCTTTGTATCATGGTCAAGGAGTGGTCCCGTCACGAAGTTCAGGGTCGATGCAACAATGATGTTCGCTTTAGTTGGACTATATCTCTCAGGTATCTCACGTATGAGCTGAGCGAGACAGTCGAGGGTTTGATTCTGCTGCTTCTGATTGAGAAGAAGGCGGCTGACAAAGCCCTCCAGATCTTTCGTGTTGTGGACGAAGGAATCATCAAGATAGAGCAGCAATATGGAGTATACCGCCACTAATACTTGAATATCTTCAGGGCAGTGTCGGTAATCGTGCGTGGCCAATGAGAGCCCGGAACGGATATAAGGCTGGACGCCATCGCTGCCTGTGATTGGACAACGGCGGCGGACGAGATCTTCATGTGTCAGTTGCTCCACGTTGACATTTGCAATGACTTCGGAGCATAAGGGTGACGTTGTGCAGCTCCGATAAAAATCGGAGATGATCTTCTTGACTTCATCAAGGTCAGATATCACCTTTCACTTATAATTAGCAACAGCATTATATCTCGATACAACTGACCTACATTCTGCACAGGTGCAGCCTGAGGGTACATAATCGTCGAATTACCGTCAGAATGATCACTACCCTGACTAAGAGTGACAGATGGTGGAGATGAGATCGATGCCATGTTGACTGTTGAGATTGAGGGGTCTGCAGCTAGGGCTTCTAGTTTGGGTGCTTACCACTGGTGATCAGGAGGTTGTGCTTTTATACAATTCTCAGTGGTTTGCGGCTCAGCCAACAGGAGCTGTACGGCTATGGGACTCCAATCGTCAGCGGGTCTGCAATAGTCTGTAGTGGTGCCTTATGCAGCGTTTATGAGGTACACCAGCAGACGGTGGTATGCCCATGGGGATAACACTGAAGTCCCGTCCAGAGATATGAAATACGAGGGCGTCTTTCAATGACGGACATGAAATCAGGTACCAGACATGCCACTCCGCTCGCATAGAAGACTCTGCGGTATGACGCAGAGCCCGCAATCGGGAAGAGTAGGCGGAGAATGTCTTCAGGGGGTAGGTTTACTTCCCATCTTCTACCTGTGGGAAAACGTCAGATCATGCCGCAAGTCTGAATATCAGCCTCTCCACATCTGGATAATGCTCCGAAGCTACCCAGATGTCCTCGAAGTTATGGGGGAATTCTGTCGTAATGTTCCTCGGCACCCGCTAGCTTTTTTTCAATTACTGTGCAAGCGGAAAGGTTGCATAAAAATCCTCATGTTCTCGTCACAAAACTACGTCAGTGAAGAAGAGACCGGAGCACAATATGACCGGAAACTGCGTTTTTGGGAGCGCAAGGAGCTTTTCTGAAATATAGGAGTGTTATTCTTGCGGAGATGGCCTACCAATCCTCGTTCACCGGCCTTGTAGCAATAACAACAGATCTAATTCATTCCCGATAGGTAAACTGACCATTTAGAGTGACCTGATGACCTGTTATGATACTCTCATGATAGCCGGCGATATCCATGGACCATTGTGCTGTGTTGTATACCTAGGTATGTCGCTAAATAGGGGGATATTCACGTAATGATGACGTACCACACGGCTCTGGAGTACTATACAGGCTGTGCTCATGGACACCTTATCACCATTCCGGACAGGACATCGTAAACATTGGCTCGATTACTCCTGACACATGGTAAGTAGACCTCTGGATTAGAAAGGTGCAGGTTATGCCTTGAAAGCTATATATTGAGAAAGCCTAACAAACAGAGCGCAATACGTTCGGGGACTAATGATAACCGGCACAATATACACGGCATTGTGACAGTCTACACGCCGCCAATTGAGGTCTCAGAAAATGATATCCCCGAGTCGGTAACGCTCCGCGGCCAGGTGGTACTCGATATACCCATGAGTGTATGCCCTGTATGCCTCCAAAGCTGGCGGGTAAGATTGGAGGAGATTCTTGATTCGCAAGTGAGCATCCAGGGTCTCGGATGCCATGCGCGATAACGAATATGTTTTGCTTGTTCCGGTTACGGCGGCCTTCAGTGATATGTGATTTAGTTCCTCCCCTGCAATTGCCTCCTTATAGTATGAGAGAATATCGCTGTTAAGAGGGATGGTAGGTAAGTTATACTTGAATGAATGACAAAATATGCCACCCACTTCCCGTTGTTCAGGAAAATCATGATATCAGGAATAGCTTGGATGATTGTCGGTAGCGGCGTCTCAGGAGGAAATATGAAGAATGCAAATGCTTCAGCTGCGCCAGATAAAACTCGAGAGAACCAAGGATAATTGACAGCGCCAAAAGAAAGCTAAAAGTATGACGAAATGAATAGTAAGCCGATGTCTGTCAGGATGTTGCGTACCGGCATGTTCTTCGTGTCAAAATCCAGGAGAAGTGCGGTCGCAAAATTGAGAGTAGACGCGACCATTATGTTGGCTCTTGTAGCCTCGTACCTTCCGGCTATGTCTCTGATAACCTGCACCAGCGAATCCAAGGTGGGGTTTGTCTGCTTTTGTCCGCATATAAGACGACTATTAAACTCCCGAAGGCCATCGGTGTCCTTGACGAATGTTTCATCCAGATAAAGGAGATGGGTGGTATACACGGCGACAAATGCTTGGATATCCTCCGAGCAGTGCCCAAAGGCGTGGGTCGCCAGAGACACGCCAGTGCGAGTATAAGGTAGAACACCATTATTCCCAGTGAGTGGGCAGCCGCGGCGAACTAGGTCGTCGTACGTCAGCTGCTCCACCTTCGCGTTCGCTATAACGTCCCGAGATAATGGAGACGTCGTGCAGCCTCGACAAAAGGATGCAATGACTTCCCTGACCATATCGATGTCAGGTATCTCCTTTTGTGTTTTAGTCAGGATGTGAGGACGTGTCGTATCAGTAATGAATCTCACATGTGGAGCACACTCGGGTGGGTTATGGACGATATCTGGCACACATCGAGTTGTCGGTACAGACGGATTAAGTGGTGAGACGCTGAGCATGTTTCTCAGTCAAGTAGATGTCGTTCAGCGTAGTAGACAAACAGCTCGTTACTAAATCGCTCTGAGCGATGTTATGCTTTTATAGTGTCTGCATCCTGAAACTTATCTACCCTCAAAGTTCACGATGGCACAAACATTGGTTGCGGCACTTCCCAGTGGGTCTCAGTGCCTTTGTGATTGGACACCCGCACTCACAGAAGCAACGCCTCGCTGCCCATGTTGCGCCCGTCTGGGACTAAAATGTTCTCGGAGCTGACGGTGCTCCGGTGACCAATTGACAGGCGAAGCAAAGAATGGCTTCATGTCGCTGTATATCAGGCACAATCTCGTCTTTACCATTCTAAGCTATACCAACGTAGATCAGGGTGTCCCGGCTCGCAACTAGTGCGAGCCTCTGGGGCCCGGTGGTTCCGGTGTTGGGACGGCCTCGATCGATATTACCTACCTACCTACCAGCGTCGGCGCTTAATGCGGTAGCGTTGTGAACACAGTTTTCACGCTCGAATTTGCTATCGCCGCTATTGTCTGCATGTACGCATCAGGGATCTGATATGCGGATGCTTTGGCACAACTGCAATCTCTCACATTCATATCCGCCATACTGTCAATGACATAGCTTCAAAACCGTCCGTTGGCTGTGCACGGTTTGCCTGAAATAGTAGCGAGCACTCTTCGAAACACAACTCAGCTCACGGGGCGCAATATGGAGCGACCGCGAAGCATGGAGGAACTTGAACGTTGAGTCCGATTGCAAGAATATTTTGACTTCGCATGTACATGTGCACTGAAGTGGCATTCAATCGTTGGTGTGGTCAGAACGAGTATATCTGCCATAATCGTAAAACTAGGTGTCACGGTGGAAGGGAAGTGGAGGCTATTCTAGTTCGATCCCTGAGCGGCAGTGAGAAAGCAGAAATGGCTGATAGCAACTGACGTACTTAGCGCGACTAGACCACCTCGATCTCCCTGGTTCATGCTTGCAGATATGAATGTCTACTGCGTATCATTGTCAGGTTTGTCGCCGCCACGACATTACTACCCAAAATACACTCACAAGTTCTCTGCGTGGAGAAGAAGGAACCGCATTGCCCACAGACCCACTCGCAGACCTTGTTATGTTGCGTCACCTCGTGCCGTAAGAGGTCGTGTCTGCGAGAGAACTGTGCATCCATTCGCTTCAGCACGATAAGTCTATACACTGGAATTGTTACGACGAACCGTCTCTCGGCATTCGCTGCTCATCGAACACCGGAACGTAGTCTGATGCTGTTTGTCGTGAGTATTCATGTGCACCCGCCGCGTATACTCTGTGATAGTCCCGTCATTTGGTGCGCGGGCCAGGAGAATGCGCACAGTGCTTACCGGATGTGAAAGTCCGTTCGCAAGACGGCTGCAGACACCGAAATCTGTGCCGTCTCTTCGTCACCCGTTTCGCCAGCCGCCGAGGTTGAGAAGACTCTGATATGGCATCCGACGCAGTATGAAGGCAGGCTGAAGACGGCTCATCGACGTCTTGAGCCGTGGGCTCGAGGGGAAGCATTGATATTTCCTGCAACAGTTGATCGGAGAAGACAGGTCGAGTTGAATAGATGGGATTCCATAGGCCATCAGCATGGCCTATCTGAGAATCTGAGATGTTGCCTTGAAGGTAGCTGTTCGAATTCCCGAATGCAGATGTGTCGCTGGCGACGTCGTACAAGTCTTGAAAACAGTTCAGAGTGTCTGTCTGCAGGGGATCGAGCCCGGGCATTCCAAGCAAAGGGCGGCAGCCGTAGGGGTAGAAGTCTAGAAGTGGCAGTAATATGTTGAGTTACGCGATGTACGGTTGCCATCAGGAGGCAACCGACTTACCTCCTTCCAGCGAGGCGTTTGCATTTGACGCAAACATTGTTAACTCGGAGTGATCGGAGCTCAAAGAAAAGGTGATGATCGTTTTATTGATATCGAATCCCGACCGAGGCTGGAGAGTCGGTTCGAGATCGCACTTGAGCCGCCTCGACTGCTCGTCGTACCGCACGATAACATCGTATCGTTTGAGCCATTCGAAGGGGAAACTGAACACCATGGCATATATCCAGTACCAGACAACATGCAGAGGCCAACTTATACAGACCGGAGTCTTTATCCAGGTCCACCAGTTTGCAAGAAATTTGTTCGGCGTCAATGGAGCCCCGGACGACTGAAGTCTGAGAGCCAACTTTGAGAAGAAGAGAATCGGTGCATGTCTCCCACCGTCTATACATGACACCGCGGAGAGCCTAGGCACGTTTCTTCCGAGACCATCGGAGGCTAAGGGTCAGCTCATAACAGGGGGTTACGGCGGGAGAATTGTCGGATTCAACGCCTGGAGAATGGCCCGGTTACTTACATCCTCAAGAAACCACCAGTCGACGTTGAAGTTTTGGTGTTGCGGGTTCGTTGCTGCCGGTCCGCATCCCGTGCCAGACGGCTCCATATCGTTATAAGACATCAGAGAAGGCTGAACCGAGATGATAAGGGAATCCTATGCCAAATCAGCACTGCGAGCTCCATGGGCGTTCCATGAATGACGGCAGTGGGTGAAGGTCTGCCGTACGTTGGTTCGTAATTGAACGCACGGGCACCGCGGAGCACGGACGACGTTCTCGCATGCAAAAACTCGCAGGAGCGTATCGGCAGACCCAGGCATCTCGCACAGCTTGGGCGCCCAGGTGCACTGAGCATAGGGGGCGTCAGGGTGAAGCTTTCGCGAATATGCACGTTGTATGCGTATCTGGCACGCCTTCGGAAGGAGTGGGTAGTACGTATCGTCAAGAAGCTATCGTGATGCATAAGTGGCGTTCAAACTCGGAAGTCCAGGTGTTTGGGCGCCGTGCTCGATGTACCGGGCGGCAGTGTTTACGGCATGTAAAACGCATGCAACATGCGCCGAGAGCTTCTTGAAGAAATCAGTTCTCGGTAGCAATCATACGCGCAAGCTATAGTTATGGCCTGAGCTATCGCGAAACCCGCGACGGCAAGCAAGCTGCAAGCAGAAGGTGGCCGTCCAAGTCGAGGGGAGAACCCGGGAAGTCCGGGGTAAATCCGAAAGGAGATCTCCCACGGGCTCGTAGATTCTCACACTTGCAATCCGATGATTTCATCTGATGTTTCGCATTACACAGGGGCTTGACTGGGTCTTGACGCTCTTCATCGCGTTTCCATCTTTCGAGCGATCGCATACGCAAAAAAATGAGCGTGAAACTACCTGCAACTGCCTTGGACACAGCGAGTCAAGACCCGGAGGTCGACGCGCTCTCTACTTCATCCTCGGAGGACGACGAGGACGAAAACTTCAGCGATTGGGTGGACGAGGAGGCGGACAGGGTTCCTTGTCAATCCCTGTTCGACGACACGAAATTCCCATCCTCGAAAGAAGCTCTGGCGTATGACTCCAAGACGCACGGATTTGATCTAGACGCGACGTGCAAGACGCTGTGTATGTCATGCTTCCACGTTCGTCGCAGCAGCTTTTTGACATCATGCGCACAGCGCTGGATACTTATCAAAGGATCCGACTGATAAACTACATCAGAAAAGAAGTGAGAAGTCGCATCCGTCTTCTTCCTCGATTCCACACCTTATTCATGCCGCAGTGTCCAGAAACCTGCTCCTTCCAGTCTCAAGCTCGACGGCTCCGAATCGTTCTTAGCTTCGGACGACTACATCAAACCAGTTCTCGAAGACGATCCGTTGCTGCGTAAGTGGAGTGATCAGCATCGTTCATATGCTCGCAGCTCAAGGATGTGCTCGCAGTTCAAACCGATGACTGGTCGGAGGATGAAGATGACGAGCCTTTCGCTCAAACGTCAACAGCCTCCGATCTCAACCAAGCCTCGAGGAAGATACGGGCCTTGGAGCGCAAACTTGTCCAAGCTAAGCAGGACCTTGCCGACTACCGGGCCTTCGTGGGTGAACGACTCGAAGTCGGTCGTATCATCGAGGCCGTATCAGAGCCCTCCGATGTCGGACCTGCACCACGCGACGACGACTCTCACTACTTTGAGAGCTATGGCGAGAACGGCAAGTCGTAGAATCACGACAGCCCCGGTTCATCGTTCATATAACGCTGCATCTGCAGATATACACGCTGTCATGATCCAGGACCGCGTCCGCACATCGACCTACGCGTCCTTCATCATGAAGACACCGTCTGTCTTCCAGGACGCTGTTGTGCTGGACGTTGGATGTGGGACGGGCATCTTGTCGCTCTTCGCTGCCCGCTCCGGCGCGAAGCACGTGTACGCCGTCGACGCAAGCCCCGTTGCTGAGAAAGCCAAAAAGATCGTTGAAGCCAACGATCTCTCAGACGTCATCACGTACGCAGCCTTTCGTTTCACCTTGAATTTGGTGTATGCTGACCTACAAGCCAATTTCTCCAGGGTGATCCGGGGCAAAATCGAGGATATTACCCTCCCCGTCGAGCACGTGGACGTCATCATTTCCGAATGGATGGGCTACGCGCTCCTCTACGAGAGCATGCTCGACTCTGTCTTGGTTGCTCGCGATCGTTTCCTTAAGCCAAAACCAGCAGATCCCACACCGGAAGCCGGGGACGAGGTAGAAAGCCGTGGCGGCATTCTGGCGCCGAGCCAGTGCAAGATGATGCTGAGCCTGTGCACAGCCTCGGATGTCTACAAGGAGCGCATCGGGTTCTGGAACGATGTCTATGGTAACGCGTACATTCTCCTGTTCTGCTGCAGTCATTGACGATGCCTGTCCAGGCTTCGACCTGAGCGCCATGGCGAGAGAAGTGTGCGACGAGGCCATCGTCGACGTCGTCCCGGAAGAGAGCCTCGTGAGCGAGCCCTACACCATCAAGGTAAAGATCGCATCATTCTCTCTCTCCAGTCGTCGCCCCGTCACTACTCACGTTCGTTCGCAGGACATCTACCTCGGCAACGCCACCCCGCGCTCGCTCGACTTCACGTCCTCCTTCAAGCTCACCTCCACCGCCGAGCGGCGCACGAAAGCGCACGCCTTCCTGCTCTACTTCGACACCTTCTTCGCCGCCGACGGCGCGCCCGTGCCCGAGTCGACCGCGGTCCAGCTCGTCAAGGACGGCGACGTGCGCCTCGCGGAGGTCTGGCCCGTCGGCGCCGCGCATCGCCGCGAGAGCCTGCACCGCGCGCAGAGTCTCCACCGGGACCGGTCGCAGTCGCGCGAGGCGCGCCCGGGCGGGATGAGCCGCAAGCCGAGTTTGAAGGCGGCGAAAGGCGCGGAGGAGGAGACGGAGACGGGGGCGCGGGCGCGGCTGCCGCCGAGGAGGAGCGCGAGCTTTGGCGAGGCGCTGAAGGCGCACGAGACGGTGACGAGCTTTAGCACCGGGCCACGCAGCGTCCCGACGCACTGGAAGCAGACGGTCTTTATGCTCCGGGAGCCGATCGTCGTTGAAGAAGGTAACGGCGACGTTCAGGTTGAGAATATAAGTAGGACAGGATGGCTGACACGGGGGTGTTTTGCAGGTACCGAGGTCCATGGCAAGTTTTACTGCCGGAAGGCCCCGAACAACTCGCGGGAGCTGGAGGTCGAGATTCACTACGCCGTGACTGCCCCCGGAGCGCCGCCCGCGACGGAGATGGTGGCGCAGATGTTCAAAGTGCGGTGATTCGGGGAATGAGCAAGGAAATGGAAGGGACCGGGAGGTTTTCGCAAACTGAAGAAGAAGAGCCTGTATCGCATATGTTACATTCAATACATGTATACATTAACACCATATTCCATCCGGGTCCCTTGTTACACGAGTCTCAGAAGCCATCGAGCTTCTCGACGATCTCCTCCCGTTTGTCGTAGATGTCGGCGATGGAGCTGTATCCGATGAGCCCGAGGGTGATCTCGGTATCGGCGAGGATGTTCCTTACGACCTGCTCGACGCCTGCCTGACCGGCGAGCATCAGGCCGTACATGAACGGGCGTCCGACTTGTACCACAAATCAGTCCTTTTCCCAAACACGGGCGAACGGCCCGAAAAAAAGAAACGAGAACACGCACGTAAGATGCCCTGCGCGCCGAGCGCGATCGCCTTGATCACGTCGCTCCCGGTGCGTATCCCCGAATCGAACAGCACCGTGAACCCGTTCTCCTTCGCCGCCCGGATCTTCTCCGAGCGGCATATGCGGTCGAGCGCGTACAGCGACGGCAGCGCGCCGTCGACCTGCCTCCCGCCGTGGTTCGACACCACGATCCCGTCGCACCCGACCTCGGCGGCCTTCTCCGCGTCGCGCACGCTCTGGATCCCCTTCAGCACGATCGGGCCCGCCCAGTGGTCCCTGACGAGCTTGAGCTCGTCCCAGCTCCGGAACCGGCCCGAGTTGGCCTCGCCGAGCCACTCTTTGCCGAGCTGCATCGCGCGGCGGGCGGCGGGGTCGCCGGCGAGCGCGGCGGAGGCGATGGCGGGTTGGTCGTACGGCCAGGAGGGCGTCTCGTGGACGGGCGGGAGGTCGTGCCGGGCCATGAAGACGGGGTCGGAGGTGCCGACCTGGATGCCGACGCCGTACATGAAGGGGATGAAGGACTTGTCGAGGTCGTGCGGGCGCCAGCCGAGGATCATGGTGTCGAGCGTGATGACGAGCGCGGAGTAGCCGGCGCGTTTGGCGCGGGAGAGGATCGAGAGCGTGATGTCGTCCGACTTGGGCCTGTCGGAAAGTTTTTTTATTTTTTTATTTTTTATCCCGAGGTAAGATGATCACGAGCTTTCGGTGAGAGGGCGAGGGGCGAGACTGACCAGTAGAGCTGGTACCACCTGTGTCCGGACCCGTTTGCCTCGGCGACGTTCTCGATCGAGCGCGTCGAGGCGCTGGACATGATGAACGGCACGCCGAGGGCCTGCGCGGCGCGGGCGGTCGCGAGCTCGCCGTCGGGGTGGACCATGCCCTGTACACCGATCGGGGCGATGAACAGCGGCGAGGGGTGCTTGACGCCGAAGATCGTGGTCTGCGTCAAGGCCGAGGATTAGCAAACGGAGGGAGAACCGGGCGAGAGAGGCAGAGGGACCTGGGCTGACCTCGATGTTGCGCACGGTCGCGTCCCGGAGCATGCGCGGCACGATGCGCCAGGTCTCGAACGCCTTCCGGTTCGCGCGCTCGGTCGAGGACGTGCCCGCCGAGCCGAACGTGTACATGTACGCCTCTGCACCCCGTGGTCCAGGGATCGTGAGCTCCCCCGCCTTGGGGCTTTCGACGACGGGGGTAAGAGGATCGTACGCACCGATCTGGTCCTTCATCTTCTCCCTCGCCATCTGCTCCATCTTGCCAAAGTCGAGGGTGGGCAGCGGCGCGGGCGGCTTCATGCCGGCGTAGATCTCGAGCATGTACGACGACCAGCGCTGCGGGTGCGCGCTCCCACCCGCGTCTTCGTGCTCGGTCGTCGGGTGCTTGGCCTTCTCCGTGCTGGTGGTCGACATCGGTCGCGCAAGGGATTCGCTGGGAGGTAGTAGGGGAGAGAGATAAGATGGAAACCGAACGGGTGCCGACCTGGCTTGTCTATGTCACAGGTCTCCGGCGAGAATAGAACGCGTGCCGTGTCGGTGGAGATGGCATGGCTGACTGTTGTGTGCGCGCACACGAGAACATCGATCCGGGCCAGAGGCAGCGGCGACGTCAGCTGGACAAGACAAGTGCGGCAATCGGTGTTTGCCGGCATAAGTAACGCCAGCCAGTCGTTGGGCTCTAAGTACCACGAAGGTCGACAAGTTCTGCGGGGTTATAGGTAAGTGATGTCGAATTGCCCTCGCTGGAGCTGAACCTCAAAGTGCCACATTGACAAGATCAGATTGCTTTTCACATGACAAGGACAGTAGGTAGTAGTAGCGTGTGCTTTATCAGAGTCTGACACGTTGTTTAGATGATTTCACAGCCGGCGTGCTTATTCTGCCTTGAGCCGCATCCGAACGCTGATGCATAGTAAGCGCCTGTCTCGACATGAATTGACGGCTAACCTGAAGGTGGGCCTAAGGCTTGGAGTCCCTATTGAGTGGTAGCAAAGCGCTACTTAGGCGGAGGTTTAGAGGCCTCTTCTGACGCCTCCACAGGCTTCGTCGGGTTTCCATGCAGCTCAAGCTGCGGCCGTCTTACACCCATGACGATATCAGAGTACTGAAATGGAGGATACGTAGGGAGGTGTATCAAAGAGTCGTTAAACGGGGGACACCGTTATTTGGGGTGTATTGGGAGCGAACTGCAGGGTCCGAGAGGTCCGTCCTTTGCAGTAGTACTGGTCTGGGGAACAAACAAGCCGCGGACGTTATATATGAGTAGAGACAGCGGGGTATCGATAGCAATTCTGCAGCTTTGACAGCCTCTGAAGGCAGTGGACGCTGTGCATTACGTCTTCTGGAGAGCTACTAAGACAGGGCCAGCGCAAACCCTGGTACATCACGCCATCACGTGTTGGCGCCACAATGGTCTCTCGACCAATCACAGCCCTCGGATGAGCGGGATTCCCAGAGAATGGGCAGCTTGATTAGGATATCGCCGCTCACCCAGCGCTCTCTTAGAATATGTAGGACCGTCATATCATCGAGTCATTGTCTAGCTATGATGTGACGGTAGTAGATATGTTGCAGCTTCTGTGCAACGCACCAAATACAACAATTCTTGACTTTTTCTCGACAAATGCGACACGTGATGTACCAGGGTTTGCGCTGGCCCTGTCTTATTGTACCGCAGCCGTGCCAGTGTACCATTTTGCTATTCGTGCCGAAGTCAATCACCTACTCTTTAAAGTTCAACACAGCCTTGGTCACATGCGACACAGGCTGTTCACACAGCCTTTCATATCAATGGCTTCATAGCCATCTGCACTGGTCGTATAGCGCAGACTGTACCGAGTATATACATGGTTTGTTGTACTGATACTAAACAGAATGATGTACGGTATGTTGCATGCTTCCGAAGTTAGCATTAGATGAGTCAAGACTAGGAATGGCTGGCATGCATCCTGAGGTGCATTGATATCTATTTAGTTGTCCTAGGTATACACGTCGAGTATACTATCGCGTTGCAAATCACACAAGGGAGGTGCAAGCGAAGGTGGATTGGCGGGAGACCGCCCTTTCCTCTAGTAGTGTTTGCCTCTAAAACAACCTTGCGTCCTACTAGCAGTCCCCACCAGTAAGCCAGGTCAGTCCCAGCCGCGTGCCACTGCATGCACTAGCACTGTCCAATATACTAAACCAAGAGCACCGTTACTCTCTAGAAACTCTCCGTAAGTTATTAGAAATCAATTACTTTCACTGCACAAATAATTGTGAGACTCCGAGGCTTACCGTTTGCCGTCGTAACTTGTGCAGCTGGTCGTGCCCTTTATGCTTGAACAACGAGATATGCACAATCGCAGTGGAGACATTGAGAGGGCTTGCGTAATGGTCGGACACCCCAACTCTAGAGTCGTACCCCACCTCAAAGTTTATTTGGAAGGCTGCTCAAGGGCTGCAGAGCGCCACGCATCGTTGACGACGTCCCGCATTCTCCGAAGGGCGTATCAATGATTCAGTCTCAGCCCGAAGTTGCCTTGCCGGCCATCGGCACGAGCATAATGGGGCTCCGTCACCCGAATCCCGTCGCTAGCCCACCTCCTAGATTTACTCAGCCGTGGATCGCGATATAGACATGCTTTCAAAGCAATCGCCGAAGCACTCAAAAGTCTCATGATGTCTGCCCCTTCTCCTCGCTACTTCGACGACTTGCTCCCGAGGTCGTGGGGTGACATACCGATAGCGGACACGACTCTGGGAACACGAAGACCCCGTGAAATTTCAACACTCCCTCCTCTCGTGTACAACAGACGAAAAACACGCCTCGTTGACGAGCTAGAGAGAACAAAATGGGATTCAGTATCCCATTCACGAGGAAACCGAGCGCAAACCCAAACAACGACGCAGAACCGAAAGGCGACGTCGAGGATGATGCCTCCAGCAAACCGAAGACGCATACTCGCGACCTGGGCTTCCTGCCCATACCTGCACGTTTGCAGTACGACCCGGCCAAGCCGCCGCACTTTGGTCTGCTCCTGAACGCCGTGTTCGGGTTTGCGAGCACGTTCAGTGAGTACTCAAATCGTCCAACTAAGTCTTCATGGCGGAAGGCTGATGCTGTCTCGTCAGTCGTCGCCAACCTGTACTACTGCCAACCCCTCCTCAGTGAGTTTCTTACAGCACCTCCGACCCCTCCCTACCAATCCACCCCACAGTCCAGATGTCCAAGTCCTTCGACGTCTCCTACACCTCCGTCTCCAAAATCCCGACGCTCGTCCAAGCCGGCTACGCCACCGGCCTCCTCCTCATCTCTCCCCTCGGCGACCTCGTCCGGCGGCGCCCACTAATCCTCCTCCTCGCCCTCCTCTCCGCCTCGCTCACGATCGGCCTCGCCCTCACCCGCTCCTTCGCCGCCTTCTCCGCGCTCTCCTACCTCGTCGGCGCCGTCACCGTCGTCCCCCAAGTCCTCATCCCCCTCGCCGCCGACCTCGCCCCTCCCCACCGCCGCGCCTCCGCCATCTCCGTCGTCCTCTCGGGCCTCCTCTTCGGCGTCCTCCTCGCCCGCGTCCTCGCGGGCGTCGTCGCCAACTTCGTCACCTGGCGCGTCGTGTACTACCTCGCCATCGGCGTCCAGTACGGCGTGTTCGCGATGCTGTACGCGGTGCTACCCGACTACCCCGCGAAGAACCCGGGCTTGACGTACGGCGGCATACTGTGGACGATGGCCAAGTACTGCGTGACCGAGCCGCTCCTCGTCCAAGCCGCGCTCGTCAACATCGCGAGCTCGGCGTGCTTCACCAACTTCTGGGTCACGCTCACCTTCCTCCTCGGCGGCCCACCGTACAACTACTCCACGTACGTCGTTGCACAACCCCCTCCCCCGCCCCCACTACCACCACCACCCCTTCTTTCCGTACCTTCATCGCGAGCCTTCCTGTAGCTGACCCTCCCTCTCGCCGCAAGGCTCGTCATCGGCCTGTTCGGGCTGATAGGCATGTTCGGCGTGGCGATGGGCCCCGTCGTCGGGCGGACGATCGACCGGCTCGTGCCGTGGTACGCGACGCTGTGCGCCACCTGCGCGCTCACGCTCTTCCAGGCGGTCCAGACCGGCGCGGGCGGGATCGACATCGCGGCGGTCGTGATCGCGTGTCTCGGGCTGGACGTGTTCCGGCAGATGCAGCAGATCTCGCTCACGACGAGGGTGTTCGGGTTGGACGAGAAGGCGAGGGCGCGGTTGAATGCCGTCATGATTCTCTCGGTGCGTTGAAAATTTTCCCCGGAGAGAGGTGATGAAGATGAAGATGAAGATGAGGGTGGCTGATTTTTATTTTTTGTTTGCTTTTTTCGGTTCTGGTGATGGACAGCTGTTTATCGGGCAGGTGATGGGTACGGCGACGGGCACGAAGGTGTTTGTGCAGCACGGGTGGCGCGCGTCGGCGGCGCTGTCGATGGGATGGATGGGCTGGCAGCTGGTCATCTTGCTGCTGAGGGGCCCACATGTCCCGCGCTATACGTGGTTTGGGTACGCGGGAGGGCTCGAGGCGCGGAAGAGCGTCGTGATGGAGCGAGAGCGGAGGTGGAAGGAAGAGGAGGAGGAAGGGAAGAGGAGGAGGGCGGAAGGGGATGAAATGGCGAGAGCAAGCGACGGGAATGCGAGCCGGGATGAGAAGGTGAAGGAGAAGGATGCGGGTGGGGTGACTCCGGACGACCGGACGGTCGCGGGCGCGGAGGGCGCGACGGTGTCCAAGCTGCAGGCTGAAAGCGCCGAGAAAATGGTATGAGATCCGCGGCACATTTCTCTCTCTCGCATCTCGTTCTACGTAGACGATGATTATTAGACCTGTACTCATATGCGTGTGCGTACGCGGCCCGAGAATAGACTAGACGCGAGGAAATACGGATGTCGCGCTGGGCTCGAGCCCGGCGGAGCGCTCCCAGGCCAGGCTCGCTGGGAGCGCGCCACGCCGCCCGTGGGCTTGACCGATCTCATACCACCGTCGGGACCGGAAGAGGCCGACGAGGGCGAGCGCAGTCAGTATATCATCATGATCGCCCGCGCTATCGCTTCCACCACCCGCGTATTCGTCTCTCTCCTACCACATCCCACATCGACCAAGACCACCGTCGCGCACGATGACGACGACGGAATGGAAGACGACGCCGTTCGCGCCCGACCCGTCCAAGCCGATCCGGGAGCAGTTCGAGGCCTACATCGTGCAGCTGCAAGAGCAGATCGTCGCCGCCTTCGAATCGCTCGACCCCGCCGCGCCCGCCTTCCGGCGCGACGCCTGGCTGCGGCCCACGGGCGGCTCCGGGCGCTCCTGCGTCTTCGCCGTCCCCGACGCGTCCTCGCCCGCCTTCGCCGCGCTCTCCCCCGCCGCCCGCGCGCACGCGCGGGACACCGTGCTCGAGAAGGCCGGCGTCAACGTCTCGATCGTGCACGGCCTGCTCCCGCCCGCCGCGATCAAGCAGATGCGCGCGGACCACGCGGGCATCCCGTACGACCCCGAGTCGGGCAAGAGCCTGCCGTACACCGCGCAGGGGCTCAGCCTCGTCGTGCACCCCCGCAACCCGCGCGCGCCGACGGTGCACATGAACTACCGCTACTTCGAGATCTGCGAGGCCGTCGCTCCTTCCGCCGCCGCCGCCGCCGCCGCCCAGCCGCAGACCCCCGAGGACGGCCGACCCCCTCCGCGCGGCGAACCCGTCGCGTGGTGGTTCGGCGGCGGCGCCGACCTCACCCCGTCCTACCTCTACCCGGACGACTGCGCCCACTTCCACTCCACCCTCAAGACCGCGTGCGACGCGCACAGCGCCGCCTTCTACCCGGCCTTCAAGCGCTGGTGCGACGAGTACTTCTTCATCCCGCACCGGGGCGAATCCCGCGGCGTCGGCGGCATCTTCTTCGACGACCTCTCCTCCGACGCGCACAAGCGGATCCCCTCCGACGATGACGACGACGACCACGCGATCGCGCGACCCCGCACCCCGGAGGCCCTCTTCGCCTTCGCGCGCAGCGCGGGCGACGCCTTCATACCCTCCTACCTCCCCATCCTCGCCCGCCGCGTAAACGAGCCCGCGACGGAGAAAGACAGGCGGTGGCAGCTCATCCGCCGCGGGCGCTACGTCGAGTTCAACCTCGTCTACGACCGCGGGACCAAGTTCGGGCTCAACATCCCCGGCGCGCGCGTCGAGAGCATCCTCATGAGCCTGCCCGAGGTCGCACGGTGGGAGTATATGAGCGATATGGGCGAGGAGGAGGGGAGCGAGGAGGCCGCGCTACTCGAGGTCGTGCGCAAGCCGGTCGAATGGGTGTAGAAATAAAACAGATCGTTCACACTCAAATGTTGTAACGAAGCCTTGAAACTGAAAAGCAATGTATGCTAGTATCCTCATGACCGGGTCGTAGCTTTGGTGCCCCTCGCCCACTTTTGTGATGAACACCCTTCCGAACACGGCGTAGTTTGAGATTGAGCCGCCGTCTATTGCGGGAAATATATAAGCTACTGAAACATGCGTCGACGGTATGGGTGTTGAAAAGAGCGACGGAGCTGACCGCGCTGTTCGTGGTGGCGGGTATTCGAATGAGACGCGGCGCAGCCTATAGTTGGAGTATGTATGGGTCCCAAAGGTCCGATGCACGAGACGTAAAAGAAGAAGAGATGGAGAGAGAAATAACGTCGTGTACGGAGAATGCAGAATGCGACTCGATCACAGGAGCACCGACGCCACCGCGGCACCGACGAGCGTCGCCGCGAGCCACGCGACCGTCCGAGGGTCGCGGCCCTCCGCACCGCTGCGCTTCGCCTTCCGCGAGGTCGTCGACGTCGTGGTCGTCGACGCCGACGAGGACACGTTCCGGAGCTTCTGCGGCGGGAGCATGTTGGGCGTGCTCGACACCTGGAACTGCGGCGCGACGGGCGTGCCGTCGAACTCGAACAGGTGCAGCTTGAAGCCGTCCGTCGGGTCCTCGAAGATGCGCCAGGACTGGAAGAGCTCGGTGTCGTTGTAGTCCTCGATGAAGTTGGACACGGCCGCGCAGGGGTCTTGGATCTGCTGGTAGCCGTCGCCGAAGGGGGTGAGGACGATCGAGCCGTTCTGGAGGAGGTCGTAGGTGCCGTGGAACCAGAGGACGACGCCGGTGATGCAGGTCGGCTCGGAGCCGTTCGAGTTGAAGCGGTAGCGCGCAACCTCGAAGAAGCCGTCGTCCGAGCTGCGAATGTGTGAACGATGGTCAGTCGGAGTTCAGGCGGAAGGATTGCCTGAGACGGCGATGGGGGCTTACAAGGAGTAGGAGACGCCGGTGGTGTTGGGGTAGGTGAAGGACGTGTTGGCCGGGTTGGCAAAGCCCTGAGATCGCCGCATCAGTCATGGTGGTTTTCCGGCGCAGTTTTCGGCCATGAGACCGGATGAGTAACTCACAGAGCCAGTGACGACCGCCCGACTGCCCGTAGTCCAGGTTCCGGTGATGGGCGATGCGTTGTGTGCCGCGTCGAATTGGATGATGTCCTGCCCGCGCGCGGCGGGGACGAAGGCCGTGCCGGCAAGCAGCGAGAAGAGCGAGGTGAGGAAGAGCATCGTTTGCTCCCGGTTGTATTAGATCGCTGGTTGGTGCGAGGTTTTAAAGGCGGGGGTGTAGGCGGAGGGTGTGCGTGAAAGCCGTGGAGGGCAGCGACGAGGACAGGAAGAGAGGCGTGGACGTCGAGAGCAGCGGCGAGCGTGGGTGCTTGGGCCCCCGGCGCACGCTGTTTGTTGTTGTCATGGCTAGCGGGTGTTACGTGCCGGTCCTGCCGGAAGCCGAGACCGAGAACTTCTTTCCTTTTCTAGCATCCGGCGCTGATGCGCCTTTTGACTGTTTGATCCTTTTGCTCCACTTCCATGTGCTCAAGGGCCCGCGACGAGGTATAAAAGACAAGCAGCCTCGTCGCGAGGACCTTTACCTTTTGGTTTCGTATCTTACCTCGAGTTGCTCAATCGAGACTTGAACTCTCTATCGTTGTGCCGCTCGAGAACCTTATCGTGTGAACGCACCTTAGCCGTATTCGGCTTTGCCCGCGTCACATATTTTTGAGAGTGTTTCGTGAGTAATCTGTTATCGCTCGTCGTCGCTAACCCTCTTCGTTAGGACACTACCCGGCTTGATCACCCGGGTACGCCTTTGCTGAGGACACAGTGACTGCGAGCACTCCTAGCTACGTGTCCTATTTCATTATCCCTACACGCTGAGTATGCCTGTGTCTAGGGATGAGCTCACGGGTCGCTGGACTCGCAATGACCGTAGGGTCGGCGGACTAGACAGAGTCCCTCGACCCGAGTCGGATATCAATATCAACGCGGGCGAGGTGGTTGCCTCTGACCCCGTTGACTCATCTCCGTTGGCGGGCGAGGCTGGAGCTACGCACCGCGGAGATGCCCCGATGGCCGGCGATCATGCAGGATCGAGCCTCGGGGCCGTTATACCTCAAGGTTTGCTGCCCGCCTACCTTGATGCTCCCGCGCATCGCGAAGGATCGCGGTCGGTGAGCACGACAGGGCTGGCGCTCAAGGACGAGCCACGCAGCCCATCTCCGTTTGTCATTGGTGGATTCGGTGGGGCGTCGAGCGACGACACTGGATCGTGGTCTAGAGTACCTCGTAGACGTCGGAGTGCGTCTCCTGTACTGTCCAAGCGTAGCGTGATAAGCAATAATAATAGCTTTGCGTCGCTGACTAGTTTACATGACACGTCTCTCGTTGACCAGGAGGATGGCGACGAAGTGGTAGGTTCTCCGGTCGTGCTCGAAGAGCCTCGTACACCAAAGAAGCCTAACAGCAAGCGGCTGGCCTCTGAGAACAGAACGATGAGTGACGCAGAGTTCGATGCGTTGCTAGAGACGCCTACCCCGGTGGATAAGGGTAAAACTGCCGATCGAAGGGGGGCGAGTAACGTTCAAAGCAAGGACACGCCTCCCTCTGGTAACCCCGGCAAGGACGCCACGACAGAGTTGAGGTACGCCGGCATCGGTGAAGAAGAACTTGACGTCGGAGCTCAGAGAGCGGCGCTGGCCTCATTACAATCGGCTGGAGCTGTCGGCACTGCTGCTGACCGCGACACATCGGTGACATCGTCACAAGAACCCTGGGAGGATCTGTTCGCACGCACACGAAAATCCGCTGAAGTATTTAAGAACGGATGTGAGCGAGAGGTCCGCGAGGCTAGACGGGAACGCGATACCGTGCGCCTTGCCCTGCTGGAGGCGGAACGGGCCAGGCTAGAAGCTGAACGAGCCCGGGTCGATGCCGAGAAACGGTTGACCGAGATGATGGATAAACTCGATAGACTGGTCACCACGGTTGATGCCCAGGCGGCTGAGGTTGCTGCATTAAAGCGCGACCGTGGTCCAGGCGTCGGTCATCGTGGAGAAGCCATACAAAGACGCGACCACCCACCTCATCGTGTGGGGTCACCGGAACCAGGGAGCCGCGCAGCGGGCGATCAGACTGGCATCCATAGCTTGAGTACCGCCCGTCCTGGCGTGATGGCCGGCAGCGCGTCCGCTACATCGAAACGAGGAGGGCGAACGTTGGTCGCGCCTCCATCGAGATTTATATCATCTGCCAGTTCGTTAGGACAGACACTGAAACGGAAACTCCGGCAGCTAGAAGATGCTATGCTTACCCTGGAGCAGTCGGGGTCTTCGGTAATTAAACCGAATATCAAGCCTGAGCCGCCGAAAACCTACGACGGTCGGAGCGATCTGGATGCGTTCCAAAGATACGTTGAGCAGAGCGTAGAGTACCTAATCGATGGCATGATTATGAGAGAAAGACATGTGTCGAAGATCGGCCACTTCCTTGAAAAAGATGCGCTGCAGTTCTTCAACCGAGTGGTGAAGAACCCTGAGGAATGGGCGGCGGAACGGTTCTTTGACGAGCTATTCAACTACTGTTTCCCCGATGGCTTCATGAATGCCATTAGGGCGCGATGGAACACCTGGATGCAGAAGGGATCATCAGTAAAGGTGTACGCGGCAACAATGGAAGGGTTTCGCGATGATCTTGGTGGGGAGATCTCTGATCGCCAGTTCGTTCATCGGTTCTGGCAAGGCCTAAACGATGAGATCAGTCAGGAACTGTATCGCGACCGTCTTCATCCCGATATCGATACGTACGAAGACGTACTTGAGAGCGCTTTGATCGCCGAACGGGTGATCAATAATAGCTTGCACCGTGGTGGTGCCGCTTTCGGGTCCCCTCGCTCCGGACTTGAGAAGACGGGTAATGGCAGGGGCCGACGGGGCGGCGGTAACGGTGGCCAATTCGGGCGGAATGATAACAATGGCAACCAGTCCGGGGTGTCGGCGGCGAAGTCGAACACGCAGGTCAAGGAAACCGGTCCTGGCGCGCAGCGGAATAGTGATCGTTCTCGACGACGGGATCGTAACCCGAAATCGGACTCACCATTGTCCGAGGCCCAGATGAAAGAGCACCTGGAAAATAACTTGTGCTTCAAGTGTCACAAAGCCGGGCATATGAGTCGAAACTGCCCTGAAGGACAGCAGGTCACCAGTAGCACGCGAGATAAGGCTCCAGGGTCGAAGACCAGCTATGCCGTTCGGTATGCCGACAATAGCGAGCCGGCCGATGATGACATCCAGGTAACTGATGGCGACGAACCCGAAGTGCTAGATGAGTTACTCTGTGGGTCAGTGCGGTTCCGATTGGAAGAGGGCGACCGGGAAGAGGGCGCTGGAGCCGACACGGCCTTTGTACAGGACGACGGGCTGGACCCTTTTGGGAACCCTCCGCCGTATGAGGAGCCTCGGACGGAGGTCTACGATGCACATGCCTGGTACCGGGGGTACCAACGGCGCTGGTATCGATGGACAA